TTTTTTTTTTTTACAAATAGTATATTGTCAAATTAGTTTCCACATAACACTCAGTGCTCATCCCCACAAGTGCCCTCCTCCATGCCCATCCCTCCTCCCCCCCATATCCATCAGTCCTCAGTTTTTGTCAGCATTCAAGAGTCTCTCATGGTTTGCCTCTCTCCCTTTCCCCCACCATTTCCACCCTTCTTCTCCCCCTTGTTCCTCCGTCAAGTTCCTCCTAATCCTCCTATACGTGCAAACATATGATATTTGTCAGGAAGGTCTTTTTAAGCCATCCTATTTTACACTGTCAACTATCATCTTTCATCCCTCAACATTCCATTTCCTGCTTTATTTTGCTCTAAAGCCCCTATCACTACAGTACACATAATTTACCGGTTTATCCTGTTTATTTTCTGTCTCCGCTGTGAGAATGTAAGCTCCCTGAGGGCAGGGGTTCTTGTCTGCTTTTCCCCCACAATACCCCGGTGCCTAGCACGGTGCCTGGCACACGGCAGGCACTCACTAAGTGCTTACTGAAAGAGTGAGGCTAGTGGGCCAGGAAAGTGACTAGGAGAGAAGAAAGGAGAAGCCAGTACTGGCAACCCTTTGAAGATCTCTGGTTGAGCAGCTTAAGAGGAAATCAGCGCCAGGAGACTTTCTTTACGTGGGGAAGACTCAAGCACATTTACAGCATGTTAGGGGGTAGAGTAGCTATGAAAGAGACTGAGGATATGAGAGCAAGGGTATCTCGCTATATCAAGTTTGGGAGGAAGCAGAAATGGATGGCCTCACCAACCAGGGACCTCTCTGAAGGGACTAGGGCAGGAAAGCAGGTGTAGATCTGGGGGAATGAACAGAAATTGAACAAGTTCATACCTGGTACACAGTTTTCAATCTCAGGGTGTGAGTTCGAGCTTGAGTGGTGAAGGGTTGAGGCGGCACTTTGGAAAAAAAGAATGCATGCTGCTTAGGGTAGAAGAGGATTGCTCAGCAGTGCTGCCCTCCCCCCCATTCCTGAAACCATAAATCTGTTGCAGAGTTTCAGGATTTTCCCCAGTTACATTGGAAGGCCAATGATAACCAAAGGTGTAAGCCCTAGTATTATTTAAAAATTATTAATTTTGATAAAGCCCTTATTGGACACTTTGAGCACTAGACAAAATGCTAAACTCTAAGGGATAATAAATCAATGGGTAAATGATAGGAATAATCACTGCTGCTGACCCAATTCAGGGCACCTCCTACTAACCAATACTACTCAAGATGGTGCCCCTGGAAAGAGCAAGTCTTGACGACAGATCTGAAGGGGAATAGGGGCCCTGTGGCAAAGGACTCGGAAAGGTTAGTCTAAGGACCTACACAGAGGGCTGTGTATAGCATACACGAGGACCGGAATCTCAAAAGAGAAGATCTACAGCGAAAAACAAAGCCAGTTAACTACAACTCATGAAAACGGGCCCAGACAGTCTAAAATGCTGAAACTGACATTTCGGAATCAGGAGTAGTGGTCGTGCAAGGAAAGATCCCTAATTTCCAAAGGGACCAAAGTAGGATTAGAAGGGCTTCATAGTGTCATGAGCTCCTTGGTTATCTGCAAAACCTATAGAATCTTCTGCAGTCCATAATGACAAGACTATCTCAAATTAAAGACTATGTCAAACTATCAATTTTAATAGCTGCCATTCATTATTCATACCATGCTATGTATGTTACCATACTTTATTTCCATTTTATAGACGAAGAAACAGAGGCTTGGAGAGATAAGAAAGTTGTCCTAAGTCATAGCAATAAACAAGGGTCTGCATCAGAAATCAAACCCAAAGGTGTCTGGTCCCAAAAACCATGCTTTTAACCTCTATTTTCTCTTTCTAATGTTATTTTTTCTTATTGAAAACACAGGAGGGATGACTAGTTTTAATGTATTCTTATGAGATTTCTAGTCATTCTTTGATGTATGCAGTAGGTATTCTGAGGAAGGCCTATTTTTATATGAAATTATTGACTAAGTCATCTAACATGTATTATGCCTTTCCAATCTTTGTGTCCTATAGTGGGACAAGAGGTGTCATGTGAATGGCAGTCCTTGAGCCCAGGAGAATTCAGTGCTCAAGCACAGAGATAATATGTGGAGAGATTGTTATCAGTGACCTTGAAGAGTCATATTCTAGAAAATTAGGAGGGTGGGAGTAGACGAAAGCAGTTTCTGCAAAGCACAGAGCTATGGGTTTATGCACAATCTAGCTTTACCATTACTGAAGTCATGGTTAGCAGGCCCTTGACAGGGACAGCAATGATCACTGAGACCCGGCACGCACACCCCAAGAGCAGGTCATTTCAGACCAACCCCGCTGCCTTCTTTGAGCTCACAGAACTACCACTTGCGGCGGCAAGCAGCTGGGGCTGGGCGGTGGGCCCCTTTACAAGAAGCAAGTGCTCTTCAACTCACCATTTACATCCCCTGAATTAACACGCTGAGGCACAGAATCAGGACTTAAGAGTTAAGGATAGCCAAAGACACAAATAAGATCTTGCACCTGGCTTCAAAAACCCAATTGAGTCAATCTGAGATAGGGAAGGGAATGTTTCAGGAGCAACAAACAAAAATGTCTTTGAGTCAGGGCGCACCTGGCTGGTTCAGTCGGTTAAGCGTCGATTTCGGCTCAAGTTATGATCTTGTGGATCGTGAGTTTGAGCCCCATGTTGGGCTCTGTCTGACAGTTCAGAGCCTGGAGCCTGCTTCGAATTCTGTCTCCCTCTCTCTCTGCCCCTCCCCTGTGTGCATGCTCTCGCTCTCTCTCTCTCTCTCTCTTTCACTTGCTCTCAAAAATAAGTAATAAAACACTTAAAAAATGTCTTTGCATAAGCCGATAGCAAACTCAGTGAAAGAGGAGTGTGATAGCTGAGAGAATAAGGAAGAACAGCTTTGGCTGCATTGCTGGAACCTGGCATCTGTGCTAGAACAAAGGAGGGGGCAGCCCTGTCCTAACCTGGACTGGGCCACCACACTACCATGTAGCCTTCTGGACAGCCCACTTAGAGAGGTTCTGCTAGTGGTTTTCATTTCCCCCACTCCCCACTATGATCTCTGCACTGCTCTGCGCCCGGAGGAAGCGGACCCCTACACGTTGCATTGCCCGGATTCCTCGCCCTGGTGACTTCCCACTGGGTCCAGCCAATCAGAAGCACCAGCAAGAGACGCAAGGGCAAGAACAGAGAACACAGAGTATCTCTTGTGCCAATGTCTCCCTGCTCCGTCTCCACATTCCTGACAGCGGCTGTATCTCTGTCCAGTGTCAGGCAGCACCCCCTTCCGTGGTCCCAGCTCTCCGTGGGTTCCAGTTTGCTCCCTCTGTCCCTTCAGGTCTAGAGGTGGTAACAGCTTCCACCTGCCTGTTACGAGCTCCTAAATTCCTTACCATCCTTTCTTGGTTCCCTTACTCCTGCCCTCACCTCTGAAAATAGTCCCTTCACTATGGTATTTTCAAAATCCCGATTGCATTGACCTTCTGTTTCCTGCAGGGCTCCGTAATGAAACTGAAGGGGTTGGAGGCCAGCAGGCCAAAAACTCACGCCTATGAGGACCAGCCATAGGAACAGAGCATGGCTGCGCTGAAGAGAAGACTCCAGGACACAGGCTAATCCACCTGAAAGCGAAGGGCAATTATCACACTCCTTCTCCAGGCTCCATGAACAGCAGTAGAAACAGAGAGATCAACTCTGTATTTTTACCATCAACTTTTCTCAAGAGTTGGTGAAAGCGGGGTGGGCACTCTCAGTCGGTCACCGACTTCCGAAATTCTGAGTTGTTTAGTCTTCACTAGAGACTCCATACCAGGAATACAGGAGGAAAATGTGAGAAGGGTAGTTTAGGGCTTTCCAAGCCAGGAGTTCATGATTCGTTACCAGCCATACACCACTCCGGCTGTGGTTTACCAAAATAACCAAACCCGGGGAAAATCGTTTCTGCTCACTCCAATATAGAAAATAGAAGTTAGTTAAGTTTGATCATTCTCAGCACTTAGGTTCTTTTTTTATGCTTTCAGATACATCAGAAACAAGGAACTTATTCTACATCTCAGCATCACAGCCTTCAGAAGGATTATTCCCAAACCACCAAGCAGTCTCTGAAAAACGTTCATCAAGCAACTTCTATCCACGCATCTATCATTAGAGCTTCTTCAGAACTGTCGCCTCACTTTTCAAACCAAAATCCACGATGTGAAATCTGCTAATGAGACAAAGGATTCTACATGCAAATTGTCCTGCGGGGTGGGGAGCGGAGAGAAGATCACCTCAAGCTACCCTTGGTGGGGGAAAGAAAATGTTTTTCACAAGAGCCCTCAACTCCCGAGTTCACAGAAGGGTCACGGCGCGTGATGCTAAACGTGCCTAATCCGAGTTTTCCCCCTGACTGCGAGTTCCTCACTGATTCCAGGGTCCGACCGCTAGGAAAACCAGCTTTTCCACTCATTCATTCAACAAACATTTGAGGCCGATCACTAAGAGCGCCCTACGGGTCCCCGGGGGCGGACACCAGATCCAGGGGCCGATCGAGGCTGCTTCTGGAGTTCCGTGGGTCCAGGAAACGAGCTGCTTTGAAAGGCCAACGACTGCAACGAGTGCGGCGCCCAGGAAAGTTTCCGCAGGAACTTGGGGAACGCTAGCCTTCGGGCGCGGAGGGGGCGGGGGCGCGGGCCTCCGGGAGGACGCCGCCTCCGGCTGGGGGCCCCGCCGCCCCCCTCGGGCCACGCGGCGCCCGCCCCCGGCCCAGCGCGGGCGTCGCCGGGTCCCAGGGACGCCCTGCCCGGGCACCGCCGGGCCCTCTTCGCCCGGAGCGGGAGAGCTGCGGCGACCCGAGCGGGGCGCGCTCGGCCCCGGGCCCGCGTTTCGGGCAGCGCGCTCCCGCGCCGCCGCGCGCCCCCACCACCGCGGGCACCCGCGGCGCGCTCCCGCCCGGCCCTGGAGTCCCGGCTCTCGGCCCTGCCCTGCGGCGCGCCGGGCCCGGCCGCACTCACCCTCCTTGGCTTTCTTCCTCCGGGCCAGCGTCCCTCCGAGTTTCCCCAAGAAGGAGTCATCTTTCTTCCGGGACGGGGGCGACTTGGGAGTGGGGGACTTGGGGACGGAGGGCGACTTCTGCGGGGACGTGGCCATGGCGGTGGAGCGGGCAGCCGCGCGCGGGCCGGCCGGGACGCGGAGCTGGCGCTGGGCGGGCGCGGCGGGACTGAGGCTGCGGCTTTCCAAACGGAAGCGGAATTATTCCAAGCATTTGAGGCAGCTCACGCTCGCCTTTCCCTTCCCTCTCTCCCTCCCTCGCGCCGCCCTCCGCCCTGGAAGGAGCTGCGCGCTCGGGGCCCTCGCCGTTCGGGCCTGTGTCCGCGCCCCTCGGCCGCCCAGAGCAGGGAGGGCGCCCCAAATCTGCCCCTTGTGGGACCGGCGGCCTTGTCTCCCTGTGTGTGTGTGTGTGGGGGGGGGGTGACCCTCCAGCCTGGGAGCGCTCGAACCTAGAGGACGGACGCATTGCCCATGGACTTTGCACCCCACACAGGTCCTGGTACAAATCGAGGGTTCGGTGATTTGTGAAACAAAACGACCTGCTACCCTTTCCCCCAATGTCTTCGCTGGGCTGTTGGGTGAGGAGCTCGCTCTCCCTCTAAATTTCTACCTGTACAGTTAGGCCCATGTCCCGTGCCCAGGAAAGTGAGTCAGCTCCTGGAAGTGAGAGTGCACCAAAGTGTGTTTAAGGTATATCCATGGTCCTGCACTTATGTATGGCTGTTCACCTCCTCTTCACCCCCCTATCCTGGACGGAGAAGTTCAAGGTTCGTGAGCGCAGGGCTGAGGCTTCTAATTCTTAGCAGATGCCCGCATCTCAGCAGCTCAGTGGCCTGTACAAAGGAGGATCCCAAATGTTGGTGGATACGTGAATGGGAAGGTCCGACCGACCGTGGGCTCCTGTGAAACAACCCTTATCCCAAACTTCTTCTGCCTAACTGAATGCAACACAACGGCGACCAGACTCATTGGGGCAAACAGGGGAGGGACACAAGTCTCGGTGTTTCAAGGACTCTTGCTGGAAATGATGAGAAGGCCCATTTTATTGTGCTGGCCCACCTGAAGTTTTCATTTGGATTCTCCCGGCGGTCTCTCACAGGCCCCCTCACACAGTCGGTTGGTAACTGTTTCCTCCGAGTAGCTGCAGCTGGTTGAGCCTGGGTGATCACCTGATCCAAAGAGCGCAAATCTTTGGAGAGCAGCCAATCAGAGTCTCAATCAAGGATATGAACTGCGTTAGAGACTGTTGTCAGAAGTTGAGCACTTAGAGATGATCATGAAGACTCCAGAATGAAGTGTCCATTTTTAGCCACAAGCACCCAAATTAGTAGAGAAAAAACAAAAAACAAGGGAGCAGAGAAGTGAGTTCAAGAAACCTAATGTGGCCTAATGAAAAACCATGGGGAGTAATTGCCTGGACCTTGAATCTCTTCCCAGGGCCCACTGTCGTTCCCCAGAGGGCCAGCCCGTGCTTCCTTCCTAGGACATGTTCCTAAAGCTTTAAATAACATATCCGCCTTCACTCGAGCTAATCAGCAAACTGACAAGCAATAATTCCTGAGAACAGAAATTTAACAAACAAGACGGCCAACAGATTCTCAGCAGAGTATGTGTTCATTTCATCTTTGTGTAAGAGCCAAAATGTTACCTTTTTTTGAAAATTATACTTCCGTTGATGCCTCTTACCTAATGAAATGCAGAGAAGTCATGATGACTGCTAAAATTTTCACCCAGGAATAAGTAAAGATGAAGACACCCTCTCAATGCCAACTACCACCCTGATAAATCTTAAGATGTGGAGAAGTCAAAATAAATTGTTTTACATCAGTAATCATTCATGTTCAGAATATTGGATAGATAGATAAAAAACATCTCCAATCTGATCTCCAGACTTGGAAACTCTTGTCAGGGAATCATGAGACATAACAGCACAATAGCCATGTGATTGTGGCCAACTTTACTCACTTATCTGCGTCTCCATTTCTTCATCCAGAAAAAGGAATGGCAGAACAGAATTGTGGTTCTCAAACCTGATAGTGCAACACAATCCTTTGGGGAGTTTGTAATAAATATTGACTGGCCGTCTCTAGAATTTCTGATTTAGGACATCTGAGGTGAAACCAGGGAATAGGTGTTTTTTAAAGTTTATTTATTTATTTTGAAAGAAAGAGAGAGAGGGAGCATGAGCAGGGGAGGGGCAGAGAGAGAGGGAGAGAGAGAATCCCACACAGGCTCCACACTGCAGTACATCCATGAACTGTGGGAACAGGCCTGGAGCAGAAACTAAGCGTTGGACACTTAACCAACTGAGCTGCCCAGGCGCCCCAGGGAATAGGTATTTTTAAGTGGGGATTACATCAGGTGACTTGATGGGGCTGATCTGCACACTGATATTTGGGCACCTAGAGCCCTTTCTAGCCCTCACATCCTGTGGTTCTCTTTTCTTCACCCATTGCTGGTATCTGTATGCAGGGCTTAGTCCTAAATATGGTATGGTCAAAATTATACATGGAAATCTCTTAAATTTTGCGCATGCATGCTTTTGAATATACAAGTCTCTTTGGTCATTTTTATGCATACTAAGTTTGAAAGCAACTTGAGCAAGACCAAAAAGAGGAACAAAGTCTTGATTGTTGAAAGCTGGCTCCCAGAAAATACCAGCAAAATAAGCTGTAGAGAAGACAAAGCTTCAATTTATTGTACACCACGGTAGGGAGGGGCCTGCCTTGGCAGAGTCTTGTAGCATCTTGGACAGCGGAGGACGAAGTGGGGGATATTTGTAAGGTTTCAGAATCTGGTTTAAGACACGTCTTTCAATGAGATAGTGCTGGTTTAATTTTGGTTAAGGATCATACTAGTTTAGGATTGGTGGATTAAAAAAGGCAAGTCTTGTAAAGAGTCTTGGAGTGGGGCACCTGGGTGGCTCAGTCAGTTAAGCAACCAACTCTTGATTTTGGCTCAGGTCAATATCTCGCAGTTCGTGAGGTCCAGACCCTCACTGAGCCCCGCATTGGGCTCTAAGCTGACAGTGCAGAGCCTGCTTGGGATTCTCTCTCCTTATCTCTCTCTGTCCCTCCCTCTTCTTCCTCCTCTCTCTCCCTCTCTTGCAAATAAATAAACTTTAAAAAAAAAGAGTCTTTTAACAGTTAAAAGAGAGAGAGAGTTAATAGCGTTTTCAATGCTATTGAAAAGTTTAACGGTTTTACATTCAGTTCAGTAACATTTTGGGAAAAGTTCTTGAAAAGCATGATACAGTTTTTGTAACTCTTACCTTTCTGTGAAAGATATTTCTGGAATAGTTATGTTGATAAAGACAGTGAAATGGTGAAGACCCATTAATATAAACAGTAACCTGTATGGGTGTGAATGGTTTCCAGGGTCTCAATATTTTGCAGTTGTCGTTTTCAAAGCTTTCTGCCTCTAAGAAAATTATCAATCTCTCTTTTAAGAGAGACCCCCATTGGGAAATGAACAATGAATTATAAATCAGTGCTCCTCCCTTTTGGGATGAGCATTGGGTGTTGTATGTAAGTGACAAACCATAAGAATCTATTCCCAAAACCAAGAGCACACTGTACACAATGTATGCTAGCCAATTTGACAATAAATTATATTAAAAAATAATAAATTCTATATTTTAATAATAATAAATAAATAAATCAGTGCCCCTTAAAGTAGAGTCTGAAAACCAGTATTAATCTGCAAACTGCTATTGATTCTCAATGATATAAATACAGAAATTGAAAGTGTTTGGACATTTTTATACGATTTTAGCAATGCAGGTTTATATTTGTTTAATATAATTTAAAAAAAACCCTGGAAGCTTGTATTTGAAATACCTTTTCATTTTATTTTTCAATTCCTTTTTATTGATTTTTCCAAACAAACTGGTCTAGGGTGGATTGGTCCTTCACCACAGATCATTTGGAAAGCGCTCTTCTAAACTCCTCCGTTTGCTTAGAGTTCATACACTCCCTTTTAATACTTTGCTTCTCTAGTCTTTATGGATATGAATTGAACTAATTTTTGTTCAGAAGATTAAATGAGTTAATGCACAGGAAAGCATCTCACAGAAGGTCTGGCACTGAAATAGACTGAATTTAAATCCTTCTTAATCAAGGACACACATCTCGTGCTGTTTTTGACAGGATACATAGAAGAACCTGTACCAGCTCCCTCCAGTGTTAGTCGGTATCTAAAATCACAGTCCCACTAGTGAGCTGGCCCCTTTCATACTTTGTCACTGGTCTCATCTTACCCAAGGGTTGATGACAAGGATGGCTCGTAAATGAAATGTGTGTTTCTGTGAGACTCTGCTGAATCTCCAGGTCAGTCTCTCCTTTAAATCTAGACCTAGGCATACCGCCCTGGGAGAGTACAGACCCAGGTTCCAGTGCTGGCTCTGTAGCTGGGTGATCCGGGACAAACTGCCACCCTTTCTGCCCTTCCATTTCCACCATCAGGAAAGTGAACGCAGTACCTACTAAGGCTGAACATTGCACATACCTGAAGATGAGCAATTCTAATGTAGGTTATACCCAAGAGGAATGAGTACATGTGTGCTCTCTGATACATTTTCTGGAAAGTTCATGGCAGTACCGTTCAAATGGCTATTAAGAGTGGAATCCAGAGGCAGCTGGGTGGCTCACTCAGTTAAGTATCCAACTTGAGCTCAGGTCATGATCTCACTGCCCATGAGTTCGAGCCCTGCATTGGACTCTGTGCTGACAGCTCAAAGCCTGGAGACTCCTTCAGATTCTGTGTCTCCCTCTCTCTCTGCTCCTCCCCTGCTCTCTTTCTCTCTCTCTCAAAAATAAATAAACATTAAAAAAATTTAAGAAAAGAAGAGTTGAATCCATAACTAAATTCTGATAGTCACACAATGGAATATTATACAAGGAGAATGAACAATCTGCAAGAAGCAACAGAATGTAGCTCACAATTTGGAGGGTAAAAAATCACACACAAATAGAGAATATACTCTATTCACAGAAAGTTCAAAGATAGGCAAAACTAACCTCTGATGTTCGAAGTCAGGATAATGATGAGCCTTGGGAGGAGGGGTCGTGACCAGAACCGGGCAGGGTAGGTGGGAAGGCGTGAGGGAGGCTACTGGACTGGTAATGTTCTTTTTCATGATCTGGTACTGGTTACATGAGTGTGCTCCCTTTGA